GAATTTCGTCCCAACCACATGTATTTGTGTTGCGAATGAAAATAAAACTTCCTTGAATCCTTGAAATTAGAAGAACATTTTTCATTTCATTTAATTTCTTTAATTCGTTTATTTAATTCATTAAAACAACAAGAAATCCATTAAAAAACAAAGTATTGATTACTTAATGAAAAGGGTGCAGAAAGAAGTACAAGTTCTATATCTGCCTCTTATTAAAAGTCAACTTCAAACAAACATAAACAACGTCCATGTTTGAGATAAGAAAAACAAAAACATGGACAAAAAATATTAAAGAATCATATCTTCACTAAACACTACATAGAATCATGCTTTCCTAATAAATGTAACTTTGTAATCGTTTTGAATATTTGTGTTGTTTTTATATTAATATCAATTCCACAAACCTATTCCCTGAATTATTATTATTTCTACAGTTGTAAACCCTTCTGAATACTCCCAGTTTTATCTAATCTCATGGTATTTTCCTAATCTCCCCTTATGTGGTTTTTAGTTTTTCTGTTTTTAAAGGTAGCGCAACTGTGTTTGCTGCATGACCTGTTTCACCGGTCCCCCCGTGTTTGCCTTGTATGTCTTCTTGAATGGGTGTTTTTTAACTGCCCCCTCCCCCTTCCCTGAATGTACAGCACCTTGTGAATTTATTTCTGTGAAAGGCACTATATAAATAAAAACCTTACTTACTTACTTACAATCAATAACAACATTATAGTCCCAATGTCCTCAAATGAGGACTTCATTTTTATCAACATTGTACTTGCTAGAGTTGCACAGATGTGCTAAATGTGTACGCTTTATGCAGCTAAAGATGTGACTGTACATATTTACACTAGTTTCAAGCATGAGGATTTGTTGTTTTTCTTTTCTGATGAGTCGCTGTAGAAGCTTTTTACTGGGATCTCACCATCTTGTCTTCACTGAAATGAGTGTAATGTTGTCAGGTGAGCACTACATGGTGCTGGTAGTGTCTATAATGAGGCCAAATGGTCAAATTTGAAAAAAAAGTATCATGGTGCAGAGATGCAACAATGCCATGTCCTCGTATGAGGACGTGAGGTCTCAGGAGGTTTGGTTATTGTTTGTCTTATTATAAAAAATGCTTTGCTAAAATTTTAACATGAGAACCTAAAAATTAGGTTCAAAACTAAACTTATGTTAATAATTTAAGAAACCTGTTTCTGTTTGTTTCAACTATTATGGTCTTCTATGTGCACAAAAATTTGTCTGCATTTCTTTCGATAGTATTCATATTTTTCATTTATTTGATTTGAAAAAGTTCTGTCACTAACAAGGAATTAATTTAACCTTTTTGAAGCCAGAATGTTCAGCTGTCAGTTTTATTTTCTACAAAACAAAGCATTTTATTAAATATTCCCATGAAAATGTTGAATCCAGGTGATGAAAGTGTGTTTGTCAGTTACTGAAGAATTATGATTATTTGGAGAGGACGTAGGAGTAATGAGTGTCTTGAGAGTTAAAAAAATGAGAACTCCTTGAGATTTTCTGTGAATGTACAATATGACAAAATGTACTTTTTTATCAGACCTCCCTGGAAGCTGTAAAAAAAGAAAAAATTAGTATAAACTAGACATGGGTTTTTACGATGTAAAAACAAGTGTGCATTGCCTTGTAGCATGTTATTGCAGCATGGCTTTGCCTGCAGCAGTGGACTTGCAGAATGAACTGTGACCAAGTTCAAATGTGTTTTCTATACCAGCTTGTGCTTATTAAGTCAGCAGGTGTTTGTAATGAGGGTAATTGTGTGAAAATATGGAGTTTGTAGAGATTTTCTGTTAAAGTTGTTGTTGCTGGGTTTCAAACCCTGATCTCCCACATGAAAGCCCATGGCAGTAACCATGAGACCATTGGAGCTGTGGTAGAGAACGAGGCCAGGGTTTGGTTTGTATGTGTGCAGAAAGAAGCCACATTGCCAATGTAATGGTTGTCACTAATTTGAAATATATTACAACAATAAAGCAATATAAGGACAATATTATAGTAAAACATCAAAATACAATCATATTAGTATTGTAAACACTGAACTATTGAGATTAAATATTATTAAACTATGGTGCAGTACTGGGTAGATACAGCAGGGGCAGTATTGAACCAATACAAGGCTCCATTGACTCCAATTAAATGATTTTAAACATTAATATTTTGAAAACTATAAGTTGTACAGGCACCAAAAGGCATAGTCATCATTTGGCACAGGAGCTTTACAGATATAAATTACTATGGCAGCTCTAGGACAAAGTATGCAGGAAGAGAAGTGTGCCAAAATGGAGATGACTTGGATGGGAAACGAATCAATAGTGTGCATTGCATTGGCAATGCACACTGATAAAAAGATCAAATGTTCACTAAACAGAACGTTTCCTCACAAACCGCCCAGTACTGCACATTACCCAGGGATGACACGGCCAAAGTCCACAGTGAAAAACTGAACAGAGGATGAATTATTAGCTTCACAAACATATTTCAGTTAATTCAGGTTGTGATCACAGTGCAGGATCAGGTGTAATCTCACTTAAAATACACACCAACACACACTGAAGCCATTTCTTGGAGGCCATGATGTAACTGCTCTGTATTTTCTTGTCAATAAAACCCTTCACTTCAGATTTCTGAGAGCTGTTGTAAGTAATGGGAGTGCAGCTTGACACAGAAAGAAACGCAGGAGAGTCGATAAGATGACGGTACTTAAATTTATGACGTTCGTGCCGACCTGATTCTTTTTAACCATTCTTTTATTTTGTTAACCGTGTCCAGGCAGGCAGATACTGACAAAATAAAACCTGTTTTCTAAAGGCTGATCTTTGTGTATGTTCACCAACATTTAAAAGTTTAAAATAATGAATAACCCTTTAAAGTGAATTGACTGTTTCACATTTTCTTCCTGGTTTATTATTGATGACAGAAGTACTGATATACAGGGAGTGGCAGTTTCTCTTTGCAGAGTCACTTTGTGCTCGTCACCAGGAAGTTGACACAAGTTTGTTTGACCAGTAAAGCTTGATATTAAAAGTTAGATCTGTAATGATTGACTGAACCATGATGCTGCAATCCAGTGTGTGTCTGAAAGAGCCTGTGACGTGTACACCTGTCAAGTAAAAAAAGTCAAAGAAACCATCTTTATTTTTAAGAAACGTACAGATTTTACCCATTTTGTTACATAACTGGCATATTTTCTTATGAATTTTGCTCAGCCAGGAAACAGGAAGTGACGTCAAAGGGGAACTATTTAAAAAGATTTAAAATGTGGCTATGATTTGGAGTAATCAGACAGCAGTTTTTTTATATTAGTATTAATAAGTACTATATTAGTTAATAGAGGCACATCATATTAATATTTGCATGTGTGGGAAAAAAACTGGACATAAATTATTTCAAATTAACTATTACTATTTATCAAAAGGAAAAAAATTGTATACACAATTGTATAATACATTGTATATACATATATACACATGTATATACAG